CATCTTAGTTACTGTCTTATGATTGTTAAAAAAACAGTTTTTGATTTTTTGTTTGGAGTCTGAGAGGGAACTACACTGCTAAACAGACCAACTATGAAGCAAAATATTCTTAAATCCAATCAAATTATCTTGTATTTAGCAAAAAAATAATCTGCCAATGGAGGAAACTTTTTTTACTTGATAAGAATTATTGAAATAAGCACAAAGTTCTTGCCTCTGACAGACTAAAATGGGCCTGAAATCTTAAATTTAAGTAAATTCTTCTATAAAAAGAAATCAAAATCCTCTTATTTAAGAATAAATTAGTTAAAATTAGAAATGTCTGTATCTTGACTGAGTTAATTTTTGGAAATGACACCTTAATCTGGGATTAATAATAGGTAAAAAAGTACTTAAAATAAGACACAATTTCTTCCAACAGTGTGATAAAAAGCACAGAGCAGAGATAACTGGAATCAGAGTTAGACCGGAAATTTCCGATGTGCATCTGGGATGACGAGGCGTGCGGGGGCCGGGGAGAGAGTCAGATTAGATTTGGGTTAGTGTGCAGCCGGGGCGGGGGGGGGGGGGGGGGGGGGGTAATCCCAGGCCTGCTCAGCCTCTCAGCCACGATGACCTTCACGGGCCCAGCCTCCAGTACCCTCTCCGGGCCGGCCAGGGCCCCCCCGGAGGCCCCCGGGGGCCACCGGGACGGAGCAGGAGCTCCAGGACCCGGGCAGAGAAACGGGGGGGTTCAGTCAGAGGAGAGCTCTGAGATGAGTGGAGATTCTCCTGGAACCTTCCAGAAAAGCGGGCCGGGTGGGATTAGCCGTCTGGGTCCATGTTCGCTGTGGAAAAACTGAACGGCTGGGCTCTAAATCACCACATATACCGTAGGACCCTCCACTAGAAGAGCCTCAGAGCTGGAGAGACACCAAACAGACACCAAACGACCGGAGCCAGCCACCAAAAACAACTAAAATCACCATCAGAGGAAAGCAGACCAGTCCAAAAAGATTAAAATCCCACCACAGAGTCAGTAAAAAGGAACTGGGGCCCTTAAGGAGGCTCAGAATGGATCATCTGTGTGACTCTGTGGGCCAAAGAAACATCCAGAAACAACTGGTTGATATGGGTCAAACTAAAAAAACAACTAATTCACTAAAACGCAAGAGTCAAATTGAGAAAATGTTAAAAAAAAGCTGAATGAGAAAACAACAGAAAACCTAAAAGAGGAGGCATGTGGGGCAAGATAAAAAGCTCAAAGTGAACGCTTGGATCAGGAGGACTCAAAATGCAACCCAAAAAATAAATCAGAAAAACAATTAGTGCCAAATTTAAACCCTTTTTTAAATCTTACTATCATATTAGATTTCAAACATAGATTTCTAAAACCTAAATCCTTAAAGCTTTCTTTAAAAATCAACCTGTTATGCAAAATATTTACCCCTTTTTCATATTTTTATAGCAAAAATGTGCTGAAAAGTGTATTAATTTGAATTAAAAAAACAAGAGAATTAAATGTATTTGTTGTTTTTTGAAGACTTGGCTAAAAAAAAGTCAGTATTTTTAACCCTTTTGCCTTTTTTGGGGGTGAATGGAGACTTTCTGAGCAGGGAGGGGCTCTTCCTACACGGGTTTCATAATCTGAGCGAGGCTCCAGCACAATCCTGCGTCTCTGTCGTGCCTCAGGACGAACACCGAGGCAGAGATGTGCTTTTCCTGGCTCCATCCTGGGACCCGGGTCCTACTCGGTCTGTTTCTGCCCTCCAGAGGGGCTGACAGACACCCGGGAGGCTGCAAATCGAGCTAGAATCACCTCAAATCTTCACAAATCAAGCTTCAGAATGACCTGAAGTCTTCGGATGGACCCAGAAACGTGCCATCTGCCGGGTTTTAGGGCACCAAAAATGCCCGGGCAGCCACGGCCCAACATTCCTGGGGGCCCCTTTACTCTGGGATAATTGCTCCGGCCTTGTGGGAGAGGAGGAAGTGCCAAAGGGAGCAAACAAAGGCAAATTAGTGGATGCAAATGGTGGCTGGGAGGGGGGGCTGGATCTATGGTTTCAATAGGCTTGCGCAATAACGGCTGGCGCCGGGCCAAGCCTTGTTTTTAACGGAGAAAAGCACAAGAAAAGGGATTCATTCGCTGCTCATCAGAGGCTGAGCAGAGTTTCTGTGGACAAAACAAATGTCTGCCGGTGACAAACGACCGAAACTGTTGATAACAACACAAATATGACACAACATCCATTTTCTGGGTTTGGAATGAATTAGAGCCAGTTCCTAAACGGGATTTAAATAAAAAAAATCTGGATTAAAGTTTAAGCACCAGCTTCAGAACCTGATCCAGGACTTCCCAGTTCCCTCCGATGATCTCCGATAATTTCCCAAAAACGTGATAGATGTGTTTGACCACCACCTGGGACTCACAGATCTGCTGGAGGACGGGAAAAACCAGTCCCCCTTTCTGTTTTCCTGAACAAATAGCCTCTAACACGGTTCATGGCTCCTCATGGGGGCCATAGAATATAGTCTCCACACATATTTAAGCCTTTTTTACACAATACGTGATCATACTACAGCAAACGTGCTGTTACAGTTGACGTGTTGTGAATCTAATTCACCAGCCGGACAGTTTCTGAATGACCACTGCAATGCTTAGTCCAGCATTAGCTTTCCATATGACACATGTCTCTTTGTCCTGGGCAGAAAATGACTCATTTAACCTAAAACTGGTTAAACACGGTTTGTTTATTTATTCATTAATTAATTCATTCATTCATTTATTTATGTATGTATTTTCTTATCATTATGGATTTATATTTAATTATAATTATATATTTGTTCTTATTCATTTTTCAATGCATGTATTATTATTTATTATCTGTTATCCGACCCTCAGATAATTATTTATGCACTATTATGCACGATTAAAATGCACTTTCACTTCAACTGGAGTCGTCTGACTAGTGCTCACACGCCATAACAGCCACTCACAGAGCACAGACTGAATCCTTAAATCCTCTGAGGAGCACATTTCTGCCCCTTAAAGGCAGGAAACCAGGAGTCAGCCCAGTAGATCTGGGCCCCTCAGCAGGAAGTGGTCCAAACGTCCCGGTTCTGTACTCTGGAGGACATTTAAAAGGGGTTTGGGGGGGGGGGGGGATGCTTTTACCTGTTCAGACTCATCTGAAAACATAGAGATAAACTCCTAAACTCCAACCCACTTCAGTACTCCAGATCTGGACCTGGTCGAGCAGACGGGGGGACTGGACCACCGAGGCCACGTTAATGTGACGCTCAGGACTTTTCTATACTTCCTTTCCCTCCGTAGGTCGTCCCGACTCAGAATAACTAAGCTGACAGCGTAACAGCACCATTAAAGGAAGCAACAAAGAGACAACGAGCGTTTAGAGACTCAGTTTGGCCAATTTATGGTCCAGAAAACTAAAAACCTGCCAGCGTCCAGCTTCAATTAAATCATTAGAAAGAACCTTTTCCCTTCAATTTGTCCCTCACTTTGCACATTGCTTATGTTTGTCCAACAGGCTTATTTATATTCTACCGAGTTTATAAGTCATTTCCTTCATTTTCCCTCCTTAATGACCTCATGACATGAGAACCCGTGCAGCTTTTGAGGGCTGACCCTCTGAGCAAAGTCTGGCCCACCTGAGCTCCACACCAGTGTCCAGTCATCACGCCCCCGGGGCCGAGCGAGCCGAGGTGCGGGCGGGGCAGCGCTCAGTCGTACAGCAGGATGAAGGGGTTGGTGGGGTGGCTGCCACTCCTCTCGGGACGCGGGGCCATTCCTCTGCCTCCTGCAGCCGCTCACATCCCCCGAGGACCCAGCAGAGAGCAGCCGGCGCCGTGCCTCCACCCGTACCTCCACGCCGTGCCTCTCCACTGCCAGCCCCAGCAGGTTTCCCTTTCCTGTAATCTCATTAAGTTGGGTGAAAAGATAAAGCTCAAGTGCGCCGAACACCTAAAAAAGTCTGGTGACAGGAAATCTGCGGCAGAAGTACGAGTAAACCTCTTAAAAGAGATAAGAATAGAGGAGGGTGGAGCAGGGAGTGGTTTAGTAATCCGGATGGTTTGAGGGACGCATAATCTAATTATTGTGTTTTACCACCCACGAAAAGAAAATACACATAAAAAAAAGATTTCAGCTCTACAGAAGCCCTGGGTGTTATTCCTCCAATTGCACATTTTGACATTATTCTCTTATTTTGGCACACAAACCTTGATTTTATGGATTAGACATGTTTTAGTTGAAGTCTTTTGACTTTATGGAGTTTGTTAAACGTCTGCTGATGAGCCCATGAAGGCATCTTTGTGGAGACCCACTGTTTCCTGCGACCTGAACATAAACTGTCCACCCAAATACACTTTCTGTCTCAAGACAATGAGATCCCTAAAAAGTAATTTTGTTAATACCATATTGAGAAACAGTTCAGGGCTTTTGTAAAATAATACCCTGATAAAAAATTATTTCTGAAACTGCAAAGCTGAAATTCCTGCTGAGGTTAAATGCTTGTCAGTTGATGTTACATAACAGAACTATCACAAAGTGATAGTATTATGTAGAAACATATTTTTTTCAGGTCTATTTGATGATGATTTGTTAATATGGATTTAATATTCATTTTAGGCGATAATTTTTCCTCAGTAAGAACCAAAAAAATGTATTAAACATAGAAACAAATCGTCCTTTTTGGTCATATATGAAATAAAACGTATCGATTCACTGAAACGTGTCAAACATTTTAACAAAATTGTACAATCATAACATTAACATTACATCATAATAGTCTCAGCTTATTTAATTGTTTCTTGCAAAATAGTTCTGTGGTATCCATAGTTACCGTTCCAAATAAAAAGTAACTTGTTCATTATGATTTAGGGATTTCGTGACATTATTATTATTTTTTACATCGATTGTACTTCCGGTGCAACCTTGTATTCCCTCCGATGCGTCTTGGCGGACCCTTTCTCTTCGTTCCGGTACCACCGTAGCTAACATGGCAGCGGAGGGAGATGTCGATTTGGACCTCGAAGCCGAGGAAAACTGCACTGGGAAGCCCGTGGAAAAGCCGAGGAAACATGACAGCGGGGCCGCTGATTTGGAGAGAGTCACGGACTACGCCGAGGAGAAGGAAATCTCCAGCTCCGACTTGGAAACGGTGAGAGCTCCGAGCTAACGTCCGCCCCGGAAACATGCGGCCGGGGGACATCATGACGACAGCCTCTAAACCGTTCAACACGTTTAGCTGCATTTATGTTGTTGGCCTCTTCTTATTTTCTTCACGTTTACACCCTGTGCCTCCACAAAATCACTTTTTGCTAGTAACGGCTGAACTTGGAAATTAAAATCCACTTCGCGTTAGCTGTGCTTTAGCTAGCTAGCTATTAACTTTAGTAATTGTTTATTTAACGTAACAAATGTTAAAGTTGAATTAAACTTAATCCACGTTAAGCATGGCACACAGGTCATTTTAAAATTGAATAAATAAATTAATAGAGCAAGCTATCAAACTATTATGAACCATTAATACAACCACAGTCAATGGCAGGTGTCACAATTAGCACAGACAAATATAAAGTGTCCAAAAAGAGGACAGTTCTAGTTTCATTACACCCTTATAAGCAGAATAGAACAATGAAGCCCAGCCAAGGAAATGGACTGAAGTTCTAAAACTGTCCAAAGCAGTCATAGACTGTGGATGGTGTTCAGGGATGGATCAACTATCAGCTCTCGACAGAAAGAGGATGATGATGATGGGACTTTATTTTGGTCCAATGAAAAATTCATAAAGACGACTGATTAATAATCCATCTTATTACTTCTACGTAAAACATGTAAATCAGTAGTTCACCTCTATGAAAAAATATATGTATATTTTTCTGCTTTAAAGGAACATTTTTTTCAGTTTATGTGTATCATGGTGAGTTCTCACACACGTACCAACAAAGATAAATAAGGGGTTTAAAGTCAGACTTTTAAAATATATATTTGTGTGAGATTTCCATTAAACCAACCCGTCTGTCCCTTCAGGCCATGTCTGTGATTGGAGACCGGCGGTCCAGAGAACAGAAAGCCAAACAGGAGAGGTGAGTGGAGCTGACCGGGTCAGCTTTGGCTTTAACGTTTCCCAGGAGGCGTTTGACCAGAATAAGGCATCAGCTGGTGTTTTATGTGTTTACAGAGAGAAGGAGCTGGCCAAAGTCACCATTAAGAAAGAGGACGTTGAGCTAATTGTAAGTTGAGTCACTATTTTACCCACTATGCATGTTTTTGGTCTCTGGAAGGAAGTCGGAGCACCTGGACAGAGCCCCCCCCTCTCAGCCAGGATTAAAGAATATATAATTTTAGCATAATTATGTCTAATGTGCCCATTTAGGATGCTTTAAGTCCATGAACAATAACCTTCAAGCTTTAAATCCCTTAAAATCCAGCCATTTTTTGCCCAAAACCAAAGTTGAATGTACAGCTTTGGACAGAGGCCTCTTTCAAAATGCTGGAAAGGAAATCGGAAGATAAACGATGTCATAACCCTAACCATAACCCTGACCCTGACCCTAAACCTAACCCTGACCCTAACCCTCCACCCTTCATAATTGCGAGATATAAATCTTTTTTGGTTAAACTTGTTTGGACTTATTGTACAAACCTATTTAACATCCACTATTTTAACATAATATTATGGATAGAGTTTAATTCAGTATGCAAGATTCATTTCACTATTTTTAAATAAATGTCTATGATGCAATGAAGCAATTAGGATTTTCTTTCCTTGGATTTTCCTATTGGTGACCTAATCAAAATGGCCGACTTGGATGTGACCTGCCTCTCCTGGCGTCTTTTCTCCTGCAGATGTCTGAGATGGAGATCTCTCGGGCGGTGGCTGAGCGCAGCCTGAGGGAGCACATGGGCAACGTGGTGGAGGCCTTGGTGGCGCTGACCAACTGAGCAGAGGCCCGCCGGACCCCCGGGGGGGCTGTCTTTTGTTTTTCCTGTTCTTTTTTTTTAAATAAAAGTCAATACTTCACTTCCTTCTGTTGTGATTGTTTGTAAAAAGAAAGAAAACGACTTTAATCGACACACATTTCCAGCTTGTGCACTTGGATAAAAACTGAGAGGAAGCGGGAGCTTCCACAAACGGATTATTTACAAAAGTCCCATCCCCGCCGGCTGCCTCCGGCCCAGACCCCCCCCCCCCCCCTCCTCAGGTCTTCCTCTTCTTGACGGTGGGCCGGTCGAACACGTCCCTGACGCCGGCCGCCTTCTGCTTGAAGAACTTGCTGTTCTGGGCGCTCTCCTGGGCCCAGGCCGAGTCGAAGGACGTGGTGTCCTGGTCCACCAGGTGCGTGTACTTGGTGCGTCCTGACCGGCCAAAGTTCTTCACCTGGGGAGCAAAAGGAGCCGCGTCAGCGAGACCCGGGGTTCCTGCTGGACCCGGAGGGGGGGTCTGGGGGGTGTGGGGGGGCTCACCTGCATGACTTTGGGCAGGATGGTCTTGTTGAAGTGGTCCTCCAGCGTGGGCGCGCTGAAGTCCCGTTTGTAGACGTCCTCCTCTTCATCCTGGAACAGAAACACGCCTTTAAAAAGGTCTCCGGTTTCCCGCCTGAAAACCGTCTCCGTCTCCCATTAAAACCAAGGAAAACCTGGACTGTTACATTGCGCGTGACCTCTGACCCTACGCGTAGTCGCACATGAAAGATGCTGCTTCTTAGGGCAAAAATAGCAAAAGTCCAGTCAAACGTTTTGTTAATTGTGTTGGAAACAAGTTCAGCAAAAAGATACAACTAAAAACTACATTTAAAAAACTTTGAGAAAACCTGTCTGAGCACAAAAGCTGCACAGGAGGACAGAGATGAAAACTAACTTATAAATCCACTCACAGTTTTTTTTTTAAAAGTTAGATCCAACATAAGCATTAGCATCTCCTAACCTAGTTAGACTATTTTCTATTCAGGTTGTTTGCGTGTTTTGTCTTTTTTAATACAGTTTACAATATTATTGTCACTTTTTACTGTTCACTGATGCCATTTCTGTTTGTTATTTATAGTTTGGTCTATTTGAATAAACAGGTCAGTGTTTCTTTACCAGCCAGTGTGTGTTATTCAGACTCCCCTAATTCAGATAGAGTAAATCCCTGTTCAACATGAGCCTGACAATAAGTAAGTAGATAAATAACTTTAACATGCTCTGATAGGCCGGGATCGGATCGGGACGTCCCTACTGACTATACTTTAAAAAGTGAGTTTGGAGGATAAAATGAGGTTTGTTCTAAAGTGTAAAGACTCTGTTTCAGCTGGGAGATGAGGATCAACACATCTGGGGGGTCTCTGGGGGGCCTGAGCTGAGCACCCACCATGAAGAAGGCTCCCCGGTGGTAGTACTTCTGCAGGAACTTGTATTTGCCCTTGGAGGCCTTGTTGGTCACCATCTTGCCGCTGTTTCGCAGCTCGGCCCGCCGCTCCTCCTCCGTCAGGCTGTGGAACCTCTCGATCTCCGCCTTCTCCCTCTCCATGCTGCCAAACGCAGAAAAAAGGAGCTTCATTTCCTGCCCGGGAGGCCGCCCCCCCCCCCGGTCCCCCCCCGGTACTCACGCCTCCCGGATCTCGCGGTCCCTCTTGATGCGCTTGAGCTCGCGGACCTTCCAGGCCTCGTACTCCTCCTCCTCGTTCTCGCCGTCCGTGTCCAGCGCCTCCAGCGCGGCCAGCGTGCGCCGGTTCTCCTCGAACTCCTTCTTGGCCTCCTCCTCCACGATCTTCAGCGTGTAGCGCCGCCGCTCCTCCGCCTGCTTCTTGGCCTCGGCCTCCAGCTCCTTCTGCTTCAGCTCCTCCGCCTCCCGCTCCGCCACCGTCACCCGGTCCTTCCTGACCCACAGGACGCACAAGTCCAGTCACACGCTTGCTTAGTTGTGTTGGACACAAGTTCAGCAAAAAGATTAGAATAAAAACTACATTTAAAAAACAGACAAAACCTGTGAGAGCACAAAAGCTGCACAGGAGGACAAAGATGAAAACTAACTAATAAATCTACTCTTTTTTTAGGTTGGTCCCGATCCGATATCTAGATCGGATTGGCCCCTGATATTCGCAAAAAAATGCGTATCGGCCGGCAGCAGAAAACAGATCCAGACTCCAGATCCAGTTTTTTTTAGCATTAGCATTAGCATCTATAACCACAGGTCTGTGTCCTAACCATTAAGTTGTTATCAGAGTAAATCCCTGTTCAATATAAGTCTGACAACTAAGTAAGTAGATAAATAACTTTAGACTTTAGTACAGGCTCTGATAGGCCGGGATCGGGATCAAAAAGCTGGATGGGGACATCCCACGTCTCTGAGCCTTAAGCAGGAGCTCAGGTCTCATATTCCACATGAGTCTTTTTGGACTCATGAGCTTCAGAAATCGGGATTTTGTAGCACAAACTGGAGCTCAAACCAGACTGGAGGAATCTACCACCAGTGGGAGAACCCTGAGGCCCAGGTCCCCAGACCAGAACCGGTTCCTCAGAACCCACTGGCGTTCCTGGCTGTGAGAGGGAGGTTCTGGGCTCCTACTTGCGGATGAAGACGGGCTTGAGCCGGGGCTCGGCTTCGTCCTCGCTGTCCGTGTACTCCTCGTACTCCGACTCCGACTCCGACTCCTCCCCGGACTTGCCCTCCTCCTCCACCTCCATGACCTCCATGTCCTCGTTCTTCCTCTCCTGCGCGCGCTGGCGCATCATGGCGCGCCGCCTCTCGATTTCCCGCGAGTGTGTGCGTGTGTGTGGGGGGGGGGTCAGAGGTCACTGAGGATCTGAGCCCAGCCTAAAGCACCAGCGGTCGGACGGTTTGCGTGGCAGCTACCTCGTCGTCCACTTCCTCCTCCTCCTCTTCCTCCTCCTCCTCCTCCTCGCTGCTCTCCTCCCGCTCCGGGTGCCACGTCCCCTCGTCAGAGTCCTCGCTGCTCTCCGCCACCACCTCCGGCTCCACGATCTGCCGGTGCCTCGCCAGCCTAAGGGCGGACGGGGTTAGCCGGGGTTAGCCAGGGTTTGGGGGCGTTTTGGGGCTAACCCTGACCCGGACGGGTGGGCCTAGGGGGGTTCTACCTCTCCTCCACGTCCTCCGACACGCGGTTGAGCAGACGCTTCAGACGGGGGTCGGACACCTCCTCCTCCTCCAGCTCCACCTCCGGCTCCACCTCCTTCCCCGTCTTGACGAACTTGAACTCCTCCTCCTCCTCGTCCGAGGACTCCATGGGCGCGTAGTCCGGCCGCTTGCCCGATACATAACGCTTCACCTTCACCTTTTCCATGGACAGCTCACCTGGGGGCAGCGCAACAACAGGCCAAAGGGCTCAAATCTACCCCACATTTGCAAAAACTAATGACCAACTCCACATTAGAGCTGAACCTGTAATATGTCGTATTTATTAGTTAATTTGTCCGAATATGACCTTATAATGTTTGGAAAACTAACCAAAATCTTTTATCCAGCAGAATTTTTCTGAGGAAACAAAATCTTAGCCTCTCATCCTACAAATAATTTCTAATAAAGTCTGTCATAGTTCACACAAATAGTTGTTTTCTTTATTTCTGCGTCTGTAAAATAAGGTGTCAGGCACATTAAGTAAAGGGAAAGTACAGTTAGTTGACTTTCAGGAGAATAAATCAGCAAGATTTAACTTCTCAAAACAGCCAGTTTGATGTTATACTATTGGAGCTGGAAAAGCTTGACCTGCTATTAAGTATTTATCCTAGTATCACAGATCACGTGAAACTCTGCAAAAAGAATTATAAAAATCAGATGCAATTATGATAACAAATTCTGTTTTACTTTAAATCATAATTAATATATTAGGCTTTAAAAGGTGAGAAATCCCAGAAAAACATGAGTTTGGGTAAAAATGAAATGATTATGGATGGTTGAATTTTCAAAATGCCTGAACATCCTCTGGATTTAGTTAAGTATTATATCTACTAGAAGAAGTATTTTAAAAATTTTACACCAGATGAAATGTTTACTTTTTATTCTCATGTGGAATGCTTTTGTTTGTGTCCTATAAATAATATCAAATGCTTCCTTTATATTCTCCATGATAACGTCTCTCATCTTTGTATCACAGTTTTTATTCAATGCAATAGTGAGTTCATTTCTCACACTTCTGGCATCTTAAGCTAACTGTTTTTATTAGCTTACAAGATGCTAACTTAGCTAGCAGGCTAAGCGGCCGGTCTCACCTTTCTCGTTCCGGACCGGAACGGCACCGGCCGTGGACTGGATCGGTGGCAGCTTCATGTTGGTGGATTCGTGACTAGACATGATTGCCTGGTCGACGACGTGAAGCCCGAGAAATTATACACAAAACGGATATTTCTCCTAACCAAGAAAAAGCTAACCGTAGCGACAAGAACGGAAGTCTAACTAAATGTGCTGACGGACCGGAAGTTCAAATGTTCCGACAATTGTTTCCGTCTGCTGGGAAGCAGCTTAAAGGACAAACGAGACCACTCACTCTTATCATTTTAAAGCCCACTTAACACATTACTAATTACTACCCAAATTTTTGATAAAAATAAAACGTAACGAAAGGTGGATAAAAAGCTTTGAGTATCCAAAATGGTGGAAATTTTGGACAATACCTCCCCCTAGCGGTTTGGCGTTTGAATTGCCACAGAACATGCTTTAGTTAAAGTTGTTACAGTCGTTGTAATAAAACTTCTTTAAAATATTGACAATATTGATGTGAAAACGTTCAATTAACCTTGATTTACAAGTACATATATAACAAGGCCCACTCGATTAATTACTACTCTTAAAGAGAAGGGTTACTTGTGTCAATTCTATCTTGGTGTTCGGACATTTCTTCCAAAGCAAACATCAGTGGAATAAAAACGGGTTCTACTGGGTGATCCAACACCTCATTGAGATAATTTCCTATCGTTTTTAATAAAGCTATATGTGAATTGATAATTTACCACAAACCAAATGCAGCACAAATTGTTTTGAAAAAGCATTTATTTTCTTTTTCCTATAAGATTTAAACAGTCCGTTTTCCAGCGTTCTGTCAAAGCTGGACTCCTCTCTGTTTGAACAGCTCCTCCAGCTTCTCCTCCAGAGCAGAGTTAGTTCCTCTGAGGCCTTTCACCACCTCACAGGCCCACACAAAGTACTCCTGGACCCGCTCAGCCGTCCACCCTGCCCACACACACAGACACACACACACAGACACACAAAAGAGTCATTTAACAGGACTTTTCAACAGTAATGAAGGTTTCCTCAAACGTATATGTCTGGCATCTGTGACTAAAGACTGGAAAAAAGGCAAAACAAAGCTGACAAACCATAAAAATGGGCATGTAAAAGATTTGGTTTACAGTTCACAATGTTAGACTGCTTGAAATGAATTGAAAACTGTCAGATCATTTTCTTAAGGTTTCAATTTGGCCACATTTATTTTGATTTGGGAAATCTAGATAAATATGTTAAATATTGTACATATAAATTGGATTTACTGTCAGGTTACTTTGTCCTGAATCTCATGTCAAATTTGATTTAATCATATTTATGAAACCGAACTGGATCCTTATACCACTACGAGATTTGAGACTACAAGAAGTGCATAAATTGGGTTTGTATCTAATCTAAATTAAAATCACATTTTGAATAAATATGACAAGTTTTTTTCAAAATCGACAACTACACGCTTCTCAGAGAGAAAAGTTAAGGGGGAAATTGCTGCATAATATTATAATAAAATTCACAATACGCCGTTTTCTGTTCTTTTTAAAGCTGCTTTTAGCTCTGGGGACCCTCATGTTCCTTCCATGTTGTTGAACTTTGTCTTCTAATTCCAGTCCGACGTGCATTTTTGGCCGTCTGATGTGATGTGAGCGGTCAGATTGCGTAACCTTATCGGGTGGATTCTTGTGCTACAAGAACAGCAGCATCCTTTCTTTCTTTTTTCTCCAGGTTGTAGGGCTCTAACTGGACGACAACTCCCTTACTATCTTTAGGAAACTCTTAAAGACCAAACTCTTCAAAGAGCATCTTCTATCCTGGATCCTCCCAGACCTCTGTACCCCTCTACTCCTCTTTCTGTGCTTCCTTCTGTCTCTCTTGCTGTTTCCACTGACTCTGACTGGGGGTTTTCCTCTAGAGAACCTATCGTCATATTGATGATGACTGTAAAATTGTGTCTACTTTGTAAGTCGTTTTGGATAAAAGCTTCTAAAGGCAGAAACACAAACATAAATATAAACGTACAGTGTGGGAACAGAAACCGTGAGCTGTGACCTTTGACCCCTACGATTTGGTGCAGCTTGAGCTGCAGCTATGATGGAAACACCACACAGAGTGTTCGCCAGATTAAGCTCCCAGCTCTTCTAACCCCTCTCAAGCAGAGAGGGGGCAGGGGGTGGGGGGCACTGACCGGTGGGCGTGCAGCGGTTCAGGTCCCTGAGGTTGTACAGCTTGTCGGCCAGCTTGACCAGCTTGGCCTGCCGGCTGCAGCGCGCCGCCCGCTCCACCTGCATCCGCTTGCGCTCCGCCTTGGCCAGCCCTTTGTCGTCGGTCACCTCCTGGACGATGCGCGCCACCACGGGCCCGAAGCGGGCCTCCAGCTCGGCGGGGGAGGTGTCGGTGTCCTCCACCGTGTCGTGCAGCAGCGCCGCCTGCAGGACCTCTACGTCCGAGACCCCCCCCCTCATGGCTCAGGATTCTGGCCACTCCTTAAAGTGGAAAATCAACAGATGTGCCTTAAAACCTGTCGGAGGAGGAACAAATACAGGAGAACGGAGCAAAGAGGAACCCCAAAGCCACTTTAATGCTATTGGTAGAGCAAAAAAAGAGATAAGAACAAAGTTAGGGCACGTTTTAAATAATAAATAAAGAAGGTGTAGTCTTAAACTATCTTATCAGACTTTGTAAAAAGCGCCTTTAAAATGGTTTGCTACCATTCTGTACAAATTAAACAGCAAATTAAGGTGTTTAATTGTCAAATCATGGAAGTTTAAATAATATTTTTTTCAGGTATAAAATCAGGTATAAAATCGATAGATTTTAAATGTGTTCATGTTTATTTCCACGACTGTTATTAAGAAACATCCCAATAGATAGTCTCAAAGACTTTGAGGAGATTTTCAAATATCAAAATCCAGGACATTAACAAATGTACATTGTACAAGTGGGCTTTTGACATTTTTAATTCACTATCTGAAAAATAATTCTAGATGCTGTCAAAGAAAAAAGTCCAAATTATGACCAAATGATTCCATCTGAAAACCACCAAGAGCTTTGAATGTGAGAAATAAACATTTCTGCCCAGTATTTCAACATGTAAGCTGTTATTATTTAATATAGTTAGCCTTGATTTTAAGTTGTAATATATTTTTAAACTACAATCAAAGCTGTCAAATATTGTTAAGATTTTAACAATATTCCATACGTTTTTCTTAATGCTTGAAACTGTTGGGGAAGTGCCTTAAATAATCACTTACCAACCCAGAATTAGAACATACAACCTTAAAATAGTGTTTCAATAGATAATACTTGCTCAGTATCTGAGTGTTATTATGGATTTACCGGAAGAGGTGAACTCACCGATGGGGTGGTTAATATACGGCGTTCCTTCCGGATCTTTCCGTCGCTGGTTACGGTGTTTTTCCGCTGCGAAATTCACAGTTTCTAACAACAACGTTGCCTCTGTAGTCATTCTGAAAACTACTACTTCTATTGCTACTACTACTCAAATCCGCAGCTTCCCAACAGCCAAAGCTTCGCGGTCCGCTCCCTAATGTGTCCGGCGGGAAACGACTAATAATAACAGTTCCTCTTCGCTTATCTACGGAAGCAGGTAGCTATCACTGTCAGTTCAGCGAATATTGCTGCTGTATAAGCACATAAATGTCACTTACTTTCTTTTACAGGCTTAATCTTGTCTGGGGGGTAACTTATTTAACGCGAATGACATCATTATGTCGCTTGCTTTAAACTGGTAAAATGGGATGTCAGGTGTATTTTTAGCATATAAGCTAACACATCTTACAGGTTTACAACAACACAATTCTCATGTGACATATTTTATTTTCTCGGTTGTTAGTAGAACATATGGCGTTGGTTTGAATGTTTCTGGAGTGGTAATGGTGTGCATTTCCTGTCTGACTGGTCGTTGGGGTCCAGAATGGCTCACTGTGCCAGGAGAGATTCCCCGGAGCTCCCCGACTTCTCTCTGCTCAAGAGGCTGGCCAGAGATCAGCTAATTTACCTGCTGGAACAGGTGAGGAAAAGCCCCCCTCACTGCCATGCCCCCCTTTGGTTTGCGCCGGATTTTGCACATGTCACATCCAACATGCAGGAAGCCTGAATTCGTGTATCTTAAAATATTTGGTGCAATTAGCTGCTTTTTTTAATGCAACATGCTGTAAAAAAGAAAAAAAAAAGGTAGCAACATGTTATAAAAAGAAAAAAAAATGTATTTTCCATGTATCTGAGCTCCTTCATTGTTCATTGCCAGAGAAAAGCGCTGGATAGAAACATTTTGTACATTATTTTATTGAAGATGTTTGTCCTGATCTCTTCACACAGCTGCCAGGGAAGAAAGATCTCTTCATCGAGGCAGACTTGATGAGTCCGCTCGATCGCATCGCAAATGTGTCAACGCTAAAGGTGAATCCCTGGAAATTCTCTGTTCCCATCAGTTAGAGGCTCTGCTCCTCCATTAGAGTTTTAATAAAAGGCTTCCCTCTTTTTTTGCAGCAACATGAAGTGGACAAACTCTACAAAGTGGAGCACAAACCCATCGTTAGCACCTCAGATCAGTGAGCTGTTGATCCTCACACTGCTGCAACACAACATCTGTAACGCTCACTTCCGCCTGACAATGTGCCCTGCTCTTTCCACAGGCTCTGTTTTCTGATCCGGCCCAGAATCAAAACTGTGAAGTGGATCTGTGGTGAGTCCGGCTGCTTTATCTCAGCTCTAAACATTCTTACATCTTCAAAAGAGACTGAGACAGGAAATTGTTTACAGTGAAAAACCACAGAGATTTGAATTAGCTTCTAATAGCATTTAGCTGACAAATTAATTGAAAATGAATACAAGTGAAAAAAGTTTATGGTCAGAAACGTTAAAACCGTGTAAAAGGAACATAGAAACTGAGACGTCTTTCACACACCGTTCCAGATGTGGTCAACACAGACAAGGCAGCTGGAAGAATAAGGAGATACAAGATCATCTTCACCCCTCAGAAGGTAGGCCCCCCCGCGGTGCGCTTCCCAGCTTCCTGGAGTAGCCTCGATTGGATATCCAACTCCTCCCACATCCAAGTCGGCCATTTTGATTAGTTCATGTGACTAGCAGCTTTCTGAGGTGGAAACGAAACTTTACTGTCTATAAGAAATCAGAAGGTAAACGATGTCCTAAGCCTAACCCTGACCCTGACCCTAAACCTAAACCTGACCCTAACCCTAACCCTAACCCTAACCCTAAGCCTCCACCCTTCATAATAGTGAGAAATAAATATTTCTGGTTAAACTTGTTTAGAATTTTTGTACAAACCCATTTAACATCCACTATTTTAACATAATATTATGGATAGAGTTTAATTCAGTGTTTGCAAGATTAACTTCACTATTTTTAAATGAATGTCTATATTGCCATGAAGATATTAGGATTTTCTTGCCTGGGATCTTCCTATTGGTGACCTAATCAAAATGGCCGACTTGGATGTGGGGGAGTTGGATCTCCATCCTTGGCTTCCTGCAGCTGTATCTTTCTTTTCTTCTCAGTTCTATGCGTGCGAGGCGGTGCTGGAGGAGCAGGGGATCTATGGCGGTGAGCGTTTGTGTGTGTGTGTGTGTGTGTGTGTGTGCGTGTGTGTATATGTGTGTGTGTGTGTGTGTGTTTGTGTGTGTGTGTGTTGCCCTCATACCTCTGTCCTGATGTGTCCAGATGTGACCATGGATGAGTGGGCCTTCTACCTCCTTCCACTGGACGATGACGTCATCAGTCTGGAGCTGCCGGAGTTCTTTCAGGACAACTTTCTGGTAAATGCGGGGCCAGAGCCAAGGGCCTGGTTCTGGGTCTGGGCCTGGGACTGGTTCTGGTTCTGGTTCTGGTTCTGGGTCTGGTTTTGGTTCTGGTTCTGGACCTCAGACCCTCATACGGTCCTGCTGCTGTCCCTGGACTCCTGCTTTTTACAGCTCAGACAAATCGACATTTTCCAAACATTTAAAACAGGAGCTTGATTGATTACGATAGATGGATGGATAGATAGATAGATAGATAGATAGATAGATAGATAGATAGATAGAT